GGGGTCAAGTTTTCACCTCCTGGGGTGAGGAAGAGGAAGGAGGCGAGTTTCCAGACCCCCTCCCTGTGGGGAAGAACCAAGAAAAGACTCTAGGAGCTATAGGAAGACACCAAAGACCATACCCTGAAGCCTGGTGTTTTAGGGACGCAGGAGGTGGACGGGGAACGGAGAAATGGATCTTCCCTCCCAATACGTGGAGGAAGAAACCCCCCATCTTCCTCCCAGTTCCGCCAAGCAACCTGTCCCCTCCTTGCCCAGCCCCAGCTCCTCTGCTGCACCCTGCGTGGCTGCTGCCGGACAATGAGATGCTCTGTGCGGGCTTTTACGTAACCCAACCCGGCGATCGCCCCGGACCCCATTAAAATGGAACGGGCCGCGATAAATAAGCTCATTTATCCCAATTATTCTTACGTAACCGGCTGCATTCACGGGGATGAAAACGCTTCCCCGATTTCTCGCCGCTTGGACGCGGGCTGGCTGGAGGAGGGACAGCGATGGGAAAGCGAAGCGTCGAGGGAGGGAAGGGAAAGGCTTTCAGTCCGGCCTGACGGAGCCAAAAGCAAATCAACAGCTCAGCACCGCAGGCAGGATCCGGCCATCGCCAGCTGCGGCAAAGCAAGCCCAGGCTGGGCAGGAGTGACCCGGCTCCGTCTGACCCCTTCCCAGTAAGGGGGGATAACTGGATGCCGCATCCTTTGCCGAGCTTCCTCCAGCAGCCGGGTGGGAGCGGGTGCTGGGCACTCAGACCGTGAGGTGGGATGATTTACCGTGTCCCAAGCGGGGATGGGTCCTCCAGGGAGAAACACTGGGGTAGTTTTACCCCCGGCTGCAAAGCGCCCAGTGTGCTGGGGACCGGCTCTTCCGCACCGCTGCCAGCTGCTCGGGGCCGGCGTTTTACACCTCCCAGGCAGAAGGGCTACGAAAAGAGCTCCAACAAGCTCAGCCAAACCATAACCGGTGCCGGCGAGCGTCGAGGGGAATTCAGCAACCTCTGGAGCTGCCCTCGTCCATCCACGGCAAGGACCTCGCTCGGGTCGGGTCCCCCCCTCCGCCGCCCCTCCGCGGAAAAGGTTTTTTTTTGACCTGCCCTCGTCCCTCCACGGCAGGGCCCTCGCTCGGGTCGGGTCCCCCCCTCCGCCGCTCCTCGGTGGAAAAGGAGGGCTCTCACTTTCCAGAAATAGGAGCTCTGACATTTGGCTGGCTAACGCCGCGCTCCCAGCGAGCGGGGGCTTTCTAATTTCAGGCCTGGTTTTGATTAGCGGGGAAGGGTTGGGTTCGTTCCCCCTCCTTTCGGTGGCACCGGGCAAGTGGAAAGCGCCGGGGTGTTAAAGGAGCAGCCGTGCAGGGTCCGTCTCCCCGCCCCGAAGCTGGGGATGCTGCCCCATTGGGGTGCCCACCCGTCCAACCCAGGCACGGCTTCTCTGGGAACCACCAGGAGAATGAGTTTGCCAGTGCTCAGCAGCTTGACGCATCCAGGGACCCCCATACTCCTTCTCTGAAGCCCAAAAGCGGTCCCCAAAGGAGATGGGGACAACTGGCCGGCCACGCAGCTGCTGGCCTCCATGACAGCAGCCAGCCAGGGA